CATAGGAGCAGGAAGGCTGATGAAGGGTCTAGGCCCGAAACGTCAGCCTTCCTGCTCCTATGATGCTGCTTGGCCTGCTGTGTTCATCCAGCTCTGCACCTTGATATCACCAGCACTCACTGGTTGCCCTAAAACCTTCTCCCCCACCATCAAAATAAATGACATAAAAACAGAGAAAGAGTTAAAATCTCATGAAAAGCCCTCCTCACTTTGAGTAGGAACACTGCTAATAATGCATAATCAATTGATTGTCCTCATCCTGATCTCCTGAACCATTCATCACATTGATTCTATTTTGCCACAGAGGGAGATTGTCACTGACTACATTCTCTTCAAAAATTGCCGAGATATCTAAAGGAGATTATCCAGTTGGAATCAGAAATTCCATTGTCTGTAACAATCATTGTGGTTTGACCACACCATGATTGCAATCCCATTGTCCAAACAAGAAGACAAGAAAGTGACAACAGCACAGAAGCCAGCATTACCAGGCAAAACATTAGTTCTGTAAAGATTGCAATGAGTCTTTAAAATAGACTTTATTGTCTTGTGTTGGCATGTAAAACCTCTCCATCACCATTAATTTCCTGCCCTAACCTATTTTCTCCCAGCTCTTCTCCTGATTTTGTGGCAAGATAGAGTTCATTGGGTTGACAGCCCTTTGAAAATACACATGGGTCTGATCCTGTCCTCACCTTTGGACTTTGCAGGCAAACATCCTTGAATGAGGAGTGGAAACTCAGGCTGATTTGTTCCCTTTCCCTCTCCTGGCATGCAGAAGCCAATGGTGACACCCCCAATGCAATCATGCTTACGATAATCTGAGTTAACACTGGTCAAGGCTTGAACTGGGATCCATCCATACACTTGCAAACTGAGATACCAAGGATAACTGCACATATTTGTGAATTACTTGGTTATCAACATTTACCTGTTGCACTCCTCCACCAGTGCCTCCCGTTCCTCCTTGCTGGGGTTCTTCTGCCTCTCATAAGCCTGGTACAATATTTGCTGAGACGCTGGTCCCCATTTAAACCTGTTGCGACGCATCTTCTTGTTAGCAGGCTCAGTGCCCACCTCCGAGCCCTGCCCCTGGTCTTGCTGATTGAACTCTGGAAAGAGAAACAGCAGCTGATCTGGCCTGCTTTTGTCTGTCATATTGTTTCCAGTATTCTGGATAGTCTGGTTGAATTCTGAAAGAGAAAGGGTAGATTTGACCCAGCCTATACACAACAGGAAAAATGGATTCATTTATTCTTCAAAAAAAAGAAAATTCACAACAAGATGTCAATACAATCACCATCAAATCCCATCAACAAAAGTATGGAATGCAAACTTGATGCGGAAATACAGCACAGACTTCTGTTCCTCTCTGCAGCTGGTGGTTTTGTTATTGAATGGTACTGATACAGTGTCTCAAAGCTGGCAACCCTAGGACAAGGTCCATGACGGATTTCAGACCTTGCAGGCTTTGGGTCAGGTTGTACAGGTCAGGCATATTGAATGTCGAGGGTACGTTTTCCAAGTAATGATTGCTATGGGCAATTTGGAAAGAAATTGAGATGATGCTGCAAGAGAAACCAGGACTTTCTTTCAGGCAGCTGCTGATCCATTGGTGTCACTTTGCTGGAAAAGCTCCATTATATAAGTTACCAAGTGTTGGTGGTGGCGTAGGAGCAGGTCCATGGATTTCCAGCTCAGTTAGACCAATGATGTTGGTGAGGAGGGCAACTCAGATGATGTCAGCTCCCACAAATGTCTGATTTTTGGACATCGCTGGTTTGTAGATTTAAGACACTGCCACTTGTACGATCTCAAAGTAAAACAATGTAACATGGGTTAATTGACGGTTGTGGACTAGAACCAGTTCAGTAACACTTCAAATCCAGTGTCAATTTGGTCTAAAAGAAGCTACATAAAACTATATAGAAGTTATAATACTGTAACTAGCCATTCAGACCAACTGGTCTATGCTTGTTTATTTCCACCAAAGTCTCATCCCACCCGTTCTGAGGAAGGGTCACTGGACCTGAAACGTTAACTCTTGACTTTTTCTTCACAGATGCTGCCAGACCTGCTGCACTTTTCCAGCAACTTTAGTTTTTGTTCCTGATTTTTTGCATCCGCAATTCTTTTGGTTCTCATCCCACCCTACTTCATCTAATTCAATTTGCATACATGTTTTTACCTTTCTCTCTCGTGTACTAATCTATCTTTCCCTTAAAGTATTTCCACAATTTGTCTCAATCAGTTCACGTGGTAACCTTCACATTCTAGCCACTCTGTGTGCATAGCGGCTTCTCCTGAATTCATTATTGAATTTGTTCATGTCCATTGAATGTTTTCAAGATGGAGATATCTACGGCTAAAGGGATCAAAGGATATTGAGTGAAGCAGGAACAGGGCACAATGAATGGCATGGCAGGCTCGAAGGGTTAAGTGATCTACTCCTGCTCCTGTTTTCCATGTTTCTACCTAATATTCAAGTTTTGTACTCCGTTATGCATATAGTTCTACAGCTACAATTCTTTAGTTTCCGATATAACTTGAACAACATCTTCAGCAGCATATTGATATTTATTGTCCTTTGTAAGTAGTCTTTATTTTTATTCTGATGTTGCACAGAGCAATTTTAACTAAACTGTGCCTTAGCCCAAACTCAAAAGGATTTGCACAACTCAGCCAGTGCACTGTTCACACCAACCATTCATCTGGCCTCTCACAGTAAGCACAGTGTGTTAGAGACAAAAGTTTACAGTCATGAACAGGTCAGTTGGGATAGTTCTCAAAACTATTTCTTAAAGGCTTTTCCATATAGCAGAGAGATAACTAATCACTGCATTGTGCTTTCAATGTTTGTTACTGGAGAACGATCTCCTGTATCCAAAAATATGTAATTTTCAAATGCTGGATTGCAACATACACTTCAATGCTGAATGGATTAAAATCCATACAATTGCCATAGACTGTATAACCATTATGAATAAAGATCTTAGTAATGGAACCTAATGGCAAATCTATTTTGTTGTAGATCAAGGAAATGATGTATCATCAGTTATTGACTATCAAAGATCTGTTAGAGTGGAGAATATGGATTCATGAGAAATACCAACAGTGCCACAGGTATCTTAACATAGATTAGTTCTCCTAATATAGGTATTAACCATAAAGGTATTGAAATAGCCTCAGTGCCTAGATGTGCTGGAACCTAACCTTGATGAGAAAGTTGTACAATCAGTGACTTGCTATGGACACTTGGAGAAAAAAATGGAATGAATAGGAAATGAGAATAAAATTCCATAATAAAGCATAAACATTCTTTATTCTATTATTGTGACTTAAACGAAATAATGATACAAGAGGATTAGATTGTGAAGATCAGAGAAGGTATTCCAAACATCATGTTGACTGAAAATATAAAGTAACATTTTAAAATATCGATTCTATTTTACCATTGTCTTCATTTTCCAATGGAGCCAACATGTTGAGTTAATTTTTTTAATAAGGAGTTTCATATTCAGTCAGATCGTTCAAACCGTATTATAATGGCTTCTGTCAGCAGAAGTCCAAAATTGAGTTGTCACCTTTAACCAAATGTTGTTAAATATATATAGGTCAGCATTTTAACTGAAAAATATGTTGAGAAATGATTATTCAGCATCTTTATGACTGAAATGCAATATAAATATGGACCAGAGAAGGCTTAGAGGGGACTTGACTTAGATCTACAAAATTATAAGAAGCATAGATAGGGTCAATAAAAATAAACTTTTCCCTTAGTAGAGGGGTCAATTATCAGAGGACATAGATTTATGGCAAAAGTCAGGAGTTTTAGAGCAGATTAAAGGAGATTTTTTTTCACCTAAATGTTGGTGGATATCTGGAACTCACTGCCTGAAAGGGTGACAGAGACAGAAATCATCACAACATTTAAGAACTATTTTGATGAAAACCTAAGGTGTCATATCATGCAAGGCTGAGGGCCAAGTGCTGTGAAATGGGATGAGATAGGTGCTTCAGAGATAGTAGGAACTGCAGATGCTGGAGAATCTGAGATAACAAGGTGTAGATCTGGATGAACACAGCAGTCCCAGCAGCATCAGAGGAGCAGGAAGGCTGATGTTTCGGGCCTAGACCCTTCTTCAGAAAAGCTTTTGGGTGACCATCTGTGTGGAGTTTGCACATTCTCTGTGTGGGTTTCCTCCCACAGTTCAAAGATGTGCAGGTTAGGTGGATTGACCATGATAAATTGCCCATAGTGTCTAGGGTGGGAAATGCAGGGATGGCGTAGGGGGGTGGGTCCGGGTGGGATGCTCTTCAGAGGGTCAGTGTGGACTGATGGGCCAAATGGCCTGCTTCCACACTGTAGGGATTCATTTATTATTGAAAATTTTAGTCACTCATGCAAAAAAAAAGTATCAAGACAAAAAAAAAGGTGGGATCAATCAAACAAATTACAATTTCAGGATATCAAACATTTTTGTTTAATCAGGTACAATCATAGGTGAAAAATTGAGGAAAGTGAAGGGCTATTGATGAGATTTTAGGTCCTGTGACCATTACTTAATATCAGATCCACTTCATCCCAGTATTTATTCCATTATCTTTACTTCACATTGTTATGCCTCTTTATTACATTATGACCTGTGCCATTCCACATAATGATTAAAAAGCTCAGCTTCCAAAACCGTTTCCATTTCATTTTCGGTGATTTTTATTTAGTACTGGATATCATGGTAGACAGGAGCAGATGACAAGCTCCACATTGAAATGGTGTAATCTGACATGCTATTGTACCAAGTTATTTGCACTGCTGCAACACTGAGTTTATTCAAATATATAATGCAGATCCTGAGTTTATTATGTTGCATGCTATTCCATTTTCTTTCTGACACCAGATAATTAGTAATAAAATTTCACATCATATCACAACCATTCAACCGTATCAAATAATTACAGGCTTCTATTTGTTTTGAAATTATCATTCTTCCACTACAGTTACTGTAATAGTGTAAGAGAAATATTCTACTAATGAACTGCGTTTTTATTCTGTACTAAAAACAGATAGGTTTTTATACATATGCATGTGGGGGGGTCAGAGAGGGCAACTAAAGATATAATGTAAATAAGTGAGTCTTTCTAAAACAAAGATAACACTGTAGATTTATTACACTAAATTGTTCCAAAGTTACTTGCTTACAAAAAATCTTTGCTCTTATTGCTATTTATTATTTTACCATGAAGAAACCACTGAAGTGGTGCTTAAAGTCTTTGGTGTAAAATGATTCTCAGGATAGTAAGACAGTTATGGATGAGTAAGGCCGTGCTGTCTATCTTTTCATTCTATCCAGGATTATCCTAATTTTTCCCTATTTCAATTTGGCTTCTAAATGATTCTAGGGATCCTACCTTCATGACTCTATCCAATGACAAATCCTTGTGTGCATCACTTTCTGTATGATAAAGAACTTTCCAATAACAGTGCTAAATTGTCTTTTGCTAAATATGCATCCCTTCATCCTACTCTGGCAAGAGATAACTGGATGTGTTTCTGGAGAAAGATGTGATTAAAAGTTATGATGAGAAAGTAGGAAAATGTGCTGGAATTAAGCAAACAGGGACAGGCTTGTTGGGCAAGTGACCTTTTCCTGTAACTTTTCTCAACACTTCCCAGATACAACATTTGCAAACTGAACAAGTGATTAAAATGGAAAATCCCTGACTCAGAAATTACTTGGCGTATCCACAATAATGTCAATTTAAAGTTACATTACACCTGGAGTTGTGAGTGTTTCAACACATTATAACCAGAAACTAAAATGGTGATTTTAACGATTGAGTAAATTCTTCACATATTTTTCTTAATCAATTTACTACTCATTGTAACAATATTTGAGAATAATATGCAACTCTTCTCAATATATAATGTACAATGAATATACAATTTTTCCGCACCATATCCCCTTTTGGACAAAGATACTTACGTCTCTGAATCTCTTGTTGCTTCCTAACATACCAGGTGTAGAGAGCAGCCCGCTTCTGATTTTTCATTGGGGTGCCTTTGTTGAGATGCTGTGAGAGGTGAGATTGATTGAGACCTGTCACATCCACCACTTCCCTTTGTGGAATATTGTGCTGCTGCATGTAACCTTTGATCATCTTCGCTGCTCGCCATGGGTCCTCCCTATTGGAGACACCAGATAAAAATATTGCATTTAACACTGTTGTCTCAGTTGTCCTTGGGAAAACCTGTGATCTCCATATAAGAGGACAAAATATCCAAAGAAAACAAAGCTAGGCAATATTGCTTTTTAAAACATACCTTTCAGCAGCACAGTTCTATTCATTCATGTACTTCTAGATACACCGCTAGACCAATGACCTGTTTAATTGAAATTGCAAGGAAATGGACACATTTATATTTACAATAGTTATGGACTCTCCCTCATTTTATTAGGGGAGCTCACTGGCCTCCCACTGTTAGATTACAGATTTTAAAATTCATTCATGGGACGTTAGCAACATTCTAGGTCATTTGCTGCTCTTCCTTAATTGCCCTTCAGAAGGTGGTGATGAACTGCTCTCTTGACTGGTTGCAGTCAATATAGTATAGATACACCCCAGCATTATTAGGAAAGGGCTCTAGGATTCAAGTCAGGATGATGTGTGGCTTGAAGGGGATGTTCCAGGTGGTGGTGTTCCCATATATTTGCTGCCTTGGTTCTTCTAGGTGATAGAGGTCACAGGTTTGACAGGTGCTGGCAAAGGAGACTTGGCAAGCTGCAGCAGTGCATCTTCTCCATGGTACACTCTGCTGCCACAGTGTGTCAGTGGTGGAGGAACTGAATGCTAATGATTGTGGCTGGTGTGCTAATCCAGCACGTTGCTTTGTCCTAGACAGTATGAAGCTGATTTGTGCCGTGTAAACTATGGAGAAGTATGAAAAGGAGCTGATTGAGCTACCAGTGAATGCCCAATCTTTACACTTCTCTTCTCCACACACACACACACACACACAGAGCTCCCCCCACCACCGTAGTGTTTATGTGCCTGCTCCAGTTCTAATCAATGATCTTAACGGTAGGGGATTCATTGATAGAAATGTCGTTGAATATCAAGGGAAGGTGGTTAGACTTTCCCTTCTTGCAGATTGTTATTTCCTGGCAGTTAGGCAGCAAACCAGCTCAAGCACAAATATTGGTTCAGGTTTTTCTGCATGGATAGATCGATCACTTCAGTATTTGAGGAGTTGCAAATTGAACAGAAAACTGTACAATCATCATTGAACATCCTCACTTCTGACTTTATGATTGGGGTGGAAGGTCATTGCTGAAACAGCTGAAGATGGTTGGAACTAGGAAACTACTTTGAGGATCTGCTGCAGTGATACCCTGGGGCTGAGATAATTGGTCTGAAACTATGATATCTGCTTATGTTCTACGTATAACTCAAACCTGTGGAGATGTTTCCCAATTCCCATTCTCAATGACGGCAATATTTCTTGGGCACCCTGATGCCACATTTTGTCAATTGCTGCCTTGATGCCAAGGGCAGTCAGTTTCAACTCACCTCTGGAATTCTATTTTTTTTTAAATCAATGCTTGCATCAAGGCTATAATGAGCTCAGGAATTGAATGGTCCCAGTAGAACCCAGTATCAGTTAGCAGCTTGTTGCTGGGTAGGTATAGCAATAGCAATTACTTTGTTGGTATATGAGGGTAGATCTCAGGGGCTCCTTTGGCTGGATTGGATTTGCGGTTCTTTTTGTGGATATACCTGCTGAGTTGTTCATTGTGCTGAGTAAATATCAATGTCTTAGCTGTACTACAGCTACGAAGAGTGCACTTAGTTCTGGAACACAAGTCTTCAGCAATGCAACTCCCAGACATTACCAAGCTCGTAGCCTGTGCTATATCCATTGTGTTCAGCCATTTCCTGATATTTTGTGGAATTAAACAAATTTACTGAAGACTGGCATTTATGTTGCTGGGACCTCAGGAGGTCAAGATGGATCATCAACTCAGCAAATCTAGCTGAAATGGCAGACTCTTCAGTCCTGCCTTCTGCATTCTGGGCTCTGCATCATTAAGGACTGAGATGTTCACTTTGGATTAGCTGCTTAATTGTCTACCACCACCATAACAGGACTGGCAGGGACCCTGAACTCTGATCTGCTCCAATGGTTGTGCACGAATTTTACCTCAATCTTTAGCAGCATGCTGCAATTGCTGGTCAGTGTGCTATAAGAGCTTCATCAACTTGGCACCTTACTTTTAGGTACGCCTGCTGCTGTACCTAGCATTCTCTCATGCACTTCTTATTGAACTAAACTGGTCCCCTGGCTTAATGTTCCAGATCCGGTGACTCTTCCTCAGAACGTCTTGATGGAAATGGTAGAATGAAGGGTATGCCAGGCCATGAGGGTGCAGGTTGTGATGGAATAGAGGAGATTCTGCTAAATTGAGGGAACTCGGTTCCTATTGGGAGCTGAGTTTTGAGCTGCTCGATCTATTCTGAACCTATCCCATTTAAAATGGTGATAGCACTGCACAACACAATGGAAATTGCTTCAGTGTGAAAATGGACCTCATCGCCACATCAAGGTCTGTGCAGTGATCACTTTCACCAATACTGACATGGGCAGATGTATTGGTGGCAGGTAGAGTAACAGAGACAAATCAGGTAGGATTTCTGCTGGTATATTTTCTCTTGTTCCTTGGTACAGAACTACTCTGGTAATTATGTTCGTCAAGACTCAGCCAGCTCAGTCAATAGATACTATTACTTAGCCATTCTCAGTGATGGGCATTGAAATCCTCACCCAGATAGCATTGAGTGTCCTTGTTCCCCTCATGGGGGTACATGGAGGGATACTGATTCACCATGGGGGTGTGGATGGAGGGGTGGTGGGTGATGGTGCAGGAGATAAATGGCCATATAATGACCTGATGCCTTGAGGTAGACTGAGACTTTTTTCATTGGAGTGTAGGAGGTTGAGGTGTGACCTCATACAGGTTTATAAAATCATGAGGAGCATAAATAAGGTAAATAGCAAGAGTCTTCTCCCTAGGGTGTGGGAGTTCAAAACTAGGGGGCATATTTTTAAAGTGAGAGGAGAAAGTTTTAAAAAGGACATGAAAGGCAACTTTTTTTTTACACAGAGAGTGGTTTGTGTGTGGAATGAACTGCCAGAGGAAATGATGGATGCAGGTACAGTTGCAATGTTTAAAAGACATTTGGACAGGTACGTGAATAGGAAAGGTTTGGAGGGACATGGGCCAAATGCAGGCAGGTGGGACTAGTTTAGTTTGGGAACATGGTTGGTGTGGACTAGTTGGGCTGAAGGGTCTGTTTCCATGCTGTATGACTCTGTGACTCCATAACTCCTAAGGCAACCGCATACCACTGTACCACCAACTCTGCTGAGTCTGTCCTATGGTGGGACGGGACATACCCAGAGATAGTAATGGTGGTGTGTGGGAGATTGTAAGATTCAGTTGTATGAGTATGACTATGTCAGACTGTTGACTGACCTATCTCCCAATGTTGATGTGCTGTCCAGACATTGGGAAGACTTTTCAGGGTTGACTTGTTCGGGTGTCCCTTTGCCATGTCATGGTGGTTAGTCCTTTCAGTTTTGCTCTTATTGAACTTTGTTGTGTCAATTTGGCACAACTGAGAGGCATGTCAGGGGGCAGCTAGGGGTAAACCACTTTGTGGTGGGTCTGGAGTCACAAGTAGGTCAGACAGTTGAGGAGGCCAGCCACTGCTGAAGGACATGAATGAACCAGGTAGACAAATCGAGATTTAGCCTCAATTTTCATTGTACTAATTGCAAAGTGCGGCCAGTGGACCAGACCAAGATGAATTTTCAGCTAATCCAGCGTCCATTTTCAAACTTTCCCAGAAAAAAAAAGCAGGAGATTCAGGTAGGGACTGGCTCTGAGCTGGTGGTCTGAGCCCATGTACACTGCACATGGAAATAAAGGGTGACTTGGTGACGGGGTCCCGGCCTCGGTGCACTTATTTCAGTGGCAACAAGACAAAACGGTAAGTGCCTGAAGAAAATTCGAAGTGACCCGTCAGAAAGTGTCGCAAACATTGTTTCAAAAAAAAAAATCTTGACCGCTTATTTTCCAACCAGGACAGACTCTTTCCCCAGTCATGTTTGGAAGAGAGCGCACACATCCATTACCAGCAGAGGTTGTCACCAGGCGATGAAGAGGGTCACTCTCACCGATCCAATCCACTGTGACCTGGGCACAGGAAGATTCCAGCCCTCCCTACCGCTCTAAATTCGTTTTATTTATTTGAACCTGTTTAGCGATCCAGTCCACTCTGAACAAGCGACCCACATTCAAAAAAAACAAACACCCGGGCGAGCGTCAATTACAATCCCAACCTGAAATAACAGGGACATTTGAAATCTACAACTAAAAAATAACGAAGCCTGCGCGTGATTTTTGTAAAAAGAATGGGCTAGATGTTTAGGTGACTACAATATCAATCGATTGATACATTTTGAAATGAGTAAAATGAGTGCAGTATAGATCAGAAATCATTTGGGCTGCCGGAGTGCCACTGTAACAGTCCCCCTTTCGTTGATTTATTCCGTTCTATGCTGTGGCGGCTCATATTTTAGTCGTGGTGCAATGGATTTTCTGTGTTTCTGTGACACAGCAATGGTTTATTGGGTTACTGGAGGGATGCCCATTGGTTTGGACGAATAACATTTCCTTTTCTAATTTGTTGAACGGAAGCTTTCCCAGGGTCCGGTTTGGCGACGTTAATATTTTTTTTGTTCCGAAACGAAAAGTCGTTTGAAAGACGGGCTAAGGCTGGAATGAACACTTGCCATTTCGCGAGCCCTCGCATCCCATCCGATCGGCTTCAGGAACGAATCTCCGATTGGAATGCAGCTTTTATTTCTGTTCCTCCGTGGCGTTTCTTCTTCCAGAGTTGAACCATCGTGGAACAGTTGAACTAAGTACCGTCCAAAATACAACCAGTATTTAATTCAAATAAGGAATACAGTAACAGGGTCGGGGGTGGGGGGGAATGTGTGCCCAGATCCTATGTCGCTGAAATAAACAGTGAAATTGCAGCATTGAAATTTCAACAAGGAATTCAACGAGAACGGAATTTGCCTGAACACAGGGAGTCACAGACGTGCGCGTCTGTTTGATCGACTTGTGTATATGATACGCAGTGTGTGTGTGTGTGTGTATGGAAATCTGATTGTCGATTGTAATTTTCAGATCATATTTAGTAAGTTATCTGCTCTCCCAAGCCAAACACACAAGGCGATGTTTGTTTAGGATAATGCCCGCGTTTGGATTCCAGTCCCTTTACAGCTTTGTCTTTGCCAATCAGTAACCAGGTTAGCCATTCACCTCGTCGGTGTGTTCCACTTTTCTGTGCATTCGGGGTCGATGATTTATAATAAATTAATAGCACTCGGCACAAACGTCAGTTGCACGTGCTCCACGATCTTGGGTCAGATTTATATTTACAAACTGCTACAAGGCGGCTGAGAAAGAGACGGCGTGAGCTCAAATAAACAGGAAGAGAAAAGTAAATCCGTTCCACACGCTTCGACTATCGGCCGGATTGCTGTTGGGATTCGTTATGTATTTTCAGCATGTACTGGACATGTTGAAATCTAAATAATTCTAATTTTTTTAGTTATTGTTACAGACACACGATCAGATTTTACTTCAGTGTGTTAAATATAGGAAATGAGGAAATGATGCGTTTTGTCACAATATCAAACGTTAACGAGTCGACTCACTGCGTGTTCATTTGGATCACAGGAAGCGAACGAATACATTTTTATCCTGTTCTCGAAATATTCTGTGGGTGAGGGGGTCCTCTGAGAGTGCACAGGTTACTCGGTCTAGTTACACAGGTTACACAGTCTAATTATACAGGTTACTAAATCCAATTACACAGATTACACAGTCTAGTTATGCAGGTTACAGGATCTAGTTACACAGGTTACTCAGTCTAGTTACACAGGTTACTCAGTCTAGTTATGCAGGTTACAGGATCTAGTTACACAGGTTACTCAGTCTAGTTACACAGGTTACTCAGTCTAGTTATGCAGGTTACGCAGTCTGGTTACACAGTCGCTGTAACTAACTCTGGCTCACTGTCTGCCCCTTCCTCGGTAAGGAGTCACAGTTTGACATTTATGGCTGTTCTAAAACAATAGCTCCGAAATAAAGCGGCTGAGTCCGAAATAAATCGCCTAAAGCAACGCTTCAGACAGACGCCTGGAGCCCGAACAGCGCCTCTGCTAAGGAGAATGTTCTACCCATTTTACAGAAGAGGATAATTTTTTTGTTTAGGGAATTCCGCTCGACTGCTATTTTAACCGTTACGAGGTTTTTTTTAGATATCAAAAGATCAGCTCAGCTTCAAATAAATTAATTTAACTTCAAGCTGTTACACCACGTGTATTGCACAGGACAAAGCACAAAATCCTTTAACATATTTGGCACTCAAACACATAAGGATTTTTTTTTAAAGGCTCAGTTTATAGTTTGAGTGGGGAGTACTTTGGATCGGCTTTTTGGTCAATGACGCCAGAACACACCCCGTCACTCTTTGGCTGTTATTTTCTTTGGGAGACGGAATAGGAGCTATTCAAAACTAGTGAATTTCTCTGTTCTCTGCTCGCTCTCAGATTAGCACGGGCTCGATTGCGAAAGAGGTTCTGGCGAAATGGGACAGATTTGTAATCAAGGCGAAACTGGCAAAATGACAGTGTGAAACTGACAAGCTGCCTAAATAACCCTCTCTGTAATTAACATGAACTCCCCGTCCCCCACCAAAAAAACACCCCTTCCCACTCCCCCTGCAGCATTCACCCCACTCCTCACCACAAACTACCCCAGTTTTAGAACGAATTCCGAGGTTTAAAGGCACAAGGAACTATAAGACTGTGAAAACAGCCACGGTTTCCCGTTCGCCTCTACCCGGCTGCTTCGCGTGGCATCTAGTTTATCCTCTTCAGAATAAGAAATAAATAGCAAACTGGGTAATTAGTAACTAGCCCGGAGGCATTGGGAGTGGGGGGAAGATCTTTACGCCCTGTTTTGATTTTAAATTGACAAGGCGACCGCTCTCGCTTGCAATCAGGTGGTGGGGTTTATCGCAAAATCCGGTGGTTTTTTTTCTATCTTGTTACATTTTACTTTGGTGTACAACAAATAATAACGGGGGGAGGTGGGGGGGGGGGGAGAGCTCGCTTACCTGAGCATCCTGTCGACCTCAGCCCTCTGCTCGGCTCCTTCCTCGGTGTTCAGGGACTCCAGCTCCTTGAGGATCGGGGGGGTGTCGTAATCGTCACCGTCTTCAGAGGCCTCGTCCCCGGACAGTTTGCCTTTGCTGTGGCCGTTGGTCAGGCTGTGGAAAACGGCTTTGCTCTCCGCCGCCGCCGCCGCCGAGCCGTTCATCTTGAGCGGGGACACGGGCAGATTCTCCAGCTTCACCTCGAAGCTACGAGAGGGCTCCAGGTCTTCGAGAGCCTGGATCAGGACATCTTTGGAAAGTCCGGAGCTTAGTAAAGCGCTGAGCAGCTCCTGCTGGAGAGATGTCAATTTGGACACCATGTTCCAAATAAATCAAAGGGGCTTTTTGTGTGTGTGTGTATATGTGTGTGTGTGTGTGTAAGAGAATATATACAGACAGAGAGAGAGACAAACAGACCAATCGGATCCTCTGCCTTGCGAAACACAAAAAAGTATTATTTAAGAAGAGAGCGTGGATCATCGGTTTCCCGCAGACTGTCCTAAACTGCCATGATCTTTCTTTGAGAAGAGATTATAAGAATATGCAAATAGACGGAAGTCTGTAGGGTTGGGGGTGTGTGTGTGTGTGTGTATGTGTGTTGGTGGTTGCTGGTTGTGGGAGGGCAAAAAAAAAGGTCTTAGCGATATGCAAATCGCCACGGAGTGCAGCAGAGTGCGTTGGAGGAGCCGGCACAATGTGAACTCCGGCTCATTGTGTTTACATTTGAACGTGCCACCTTTAATTCGCTTCTATTTATCGCTCCGCACCTTTCCAAAACCGTGAACTTTGGACCGCGCCATGCAGCAAAGTCCAGAGTCTGCTTAAACTACCAGCGGAATTGGAGAAATTGGGTATTTTTTAAAAACTGGGGGAGTAAGGGTTGGGGGGAACGAGAAAAAAAGAGGACCGACATCCATTAAATACGAGGAGAAATGGTAAAAGAAAACTTGATCACTTTTTTTCTCTCTCTCTCTCCCCCTCACGCACATCAGCTCAGAAGCGTTGAATTTCGCCTTTAATAAACTAAAAATTCATTGGGGTTTCGCGATTCTAAACGGGACAAGTGGTCGATTGCAGAGTAACTTAGTCCAAGGTCTGATTTTGGAGGGTGATGAAATGAGAATGCAATAGGACAGGGACAGCGGCTGGTCAATGAGGCGCTTGGTGATGGGTCTTTGCATTGTGTAAAGGCTATTGGTAATATTAAGGGTATTCCTAACAAACACGCTACCCCGTGTAAAATAACCCACTCTCCTCCCCTCAAAGAAGTGCTCCCCTCAAAGGAGTGATGAGCCTGAGAGGTTGAATTTGACTTGTTTTGAACAGTCTTGATGAACATGATTGTTTTCATTTCATTTAGATTCGAATCCTTTGGCTGTTGAGTTATTTCTGGTCGATTTTTGCCATGGTCTAACAAGCTGCCTACCATAATTCCAAGGGACTGGAGTATTTGCTTCACTCTGTGAAAGGTGAAGCAGTTTTCACTGTTTGTAGCCTGTCTACTCTCAGGCTTCAAGAGATCCTGTCAGTCACCAGCTTTCCAAACTGTCAGAAGGATTAGTTCAAGTTTGCAGATTTACAATTTATTTTTGAGAGGTGGAGAGGATAAATTCAAATCTTGAATTGTACTATTTGCTGCAATGAGGCTTAAAAGATATATCGTTTAGAATTATTCAGGAATTGCAAGTCGAGTTAGCACGTGCACAATTTCCTTTAGCCTCACTTCAAGCAAGTCCAGCTGGAAATATGTTGCGTTTGTTTCAAATAAATGAACTTTCTTTTGTTCATTTTTGTTTTCAACATTTCGAGCATTTTGGTTTCTGGGAATTAAAGCATCAAAATAAAATAGCGACTTCCGCACACTTCGTCATATTATACATATTTACAGAGTGCATGGATCTACAATTACGAACTGAGCGACCCTAGGCGGTTTTTTGGGAGTAATAGTTCAAACGGATTCTTGAAACAATATCCCTTCGGGAGGGCGCGAATGTCTCGATAGGACACAACAGGTCCTGGGCAATACTTCACTGCAGTTTTATTGCCCCAAAGCTCCTTCTGACAATACCCCATCACCAACCCCCACCCCCTGAATGTGTGTCGCTACCAGAGGCAGCAATGTCAGATTCTGTCTCTCCTTTTGGCGAACAGGGAACAGTTACCCTCTCCCAAAATAAAACCCTTTGGCAGCTACATTTTCCTAATCCGAATTCCGGGGCAGCTTCTGGTTATTCTCGTGATGTTCGCTTAAATAAAAATAATAAATTGAGATTTCAGTGCAATTGCTGCTGGGGGTAGCCCATGTTTTTGCCCTTCAAATAAACCCTCATTCAAACAGACCGGAGGCGATATGTGTTATGACTCTTAGTGTGAAACTGAAAGCGCACAAAAGCAATAGGCTCTCTTTTTGAATCTGTTTGTGTTTTCTTGTCAACAGTTTGATCCTGGGAATTATAAACTGAATTAAATCTTGTTCCGTCATTGGTAGAAAAAAATCGATAGCACTTGGCGGAATAAAAACGAAAATAAAAGAATAGAGGTTTTAATGGTGGCGCGGAAATGAATACTGAGTAGATTTGTCAGAAAAGAATACAAATCATTTCTCTTCAGGGCAAGAAATATACGTAATGACCTGGGCACGCCTTTACCAATGGAGGGATACTAACGAATGTTTTCCTCTCAATACTATGGAGTGTGTACTGTCCACCGTTTAAATCCCAGTTAGTACAGAGTCTGGTTTGCTTTCCGTTCAGAGCAATTGTAAATTACTTTCCAGTCCTATATCTTTACTGTTCACTGAGGGATGAAGCTTAATGCAGAAATAAGTGTAGACAATTTCTAAACGTTTAGAATCACACATTTACCCAATATGGCCGCTTTAATCTCTCAGATAGCTGTCTAAAAGTGCCCATAGCTAACAGAAAGGAGTAAAATCTTCACTCCTACCTTATCACTCCGACAGAAATGTCAGCCATAGCTAAAATCAATTTCTCAGCTTCTTAAAGTATAAACTTAACCTTAATTGATGCAACTCCCAGACAGTGACCATTCCAAATTTAAAAGGCATTTGATTCTGTATTTTAATCTTTAAAAAGAAAACTTTAAATCTAAAGTGGTAATTGAATGAGTTGGTTAATTGCATCCTGAAAATTACATTGAACAGAAACTGTGGCAGGTTCTTCACAATAATGTGTTCACAAATTTCCCGCATAAAAATCACTGAAAATGTAAACACCCATTTACCCCCTCTCTCCCCCTCCCCAAAGATACCACAATAAACAGATCGATCGATAAAGTTGGGAACGAATCGACATTAGCGGATAAATCAATTTTTTTTGTGTACACAGCCCATTTCTGCAGGGGAGGGGCTGCACGGTTTTGTTGACATGAAAACGGGGTCTCAGTAGGGACTTGTTAAATAAACCTTCGGAGAAAGTCTTCTTTAGAACAGCGAAGCAAAAGCAAAGGCAGAGAGAGAGAGAGAGAATCTGGCCTGTTATTAAGGCTACAGGTTTGTTTGGATTAGACAAGGTCAGGACCACGGGCCATACAAATCGAAATCTTTGTATTTTAAATTTCCTACTTCGAGCCGGGGAACCTGAGCATTTAGTATCTCTTCGGCTTCATGTGTTAAAGCAGCACCTTCTCTCAGACACGACAGGATCTATCTAAGAGGCACGCTAGGGAGAACTTGCTCCAACGTTGTCGGTAAAAAGAACGCGTCCTGTTTTATGGTTAAGTTCTTGAAAGTGGGATTACAGTCCTGTACATTAGTGTGGAGTCTGTGATAAATGAACTGGGGTTTTAACCATCCTTCCCCATCGCATGTTTCAAATCTGCACCAGCCCTCACGTCGGCAAAGTACCAAAGTAATCGTTCTAAGCGCTGAATACATAGAGCAGGCCTGGCGGTGTACATTGTGCAGGTGTCAATAAAACAGAGCACAGAGGGAGCGTGCTGAATGTTAGCACCCCTCCATACTACAGCTCACATGGGGAAAAAGGTACATTAAAACAACGTAAATTTGGAAAAAAATAATGCCCTTAAATATGTGATAATCGAATATTTTTATTAAAAAATTAATGCGTTATGAAGAAATTATTCTAAACTCGAAAAGTTCTCTCCACAACTGAGTTTTTCCAGCATTTTGTACAAAATGAACGATTGTATTAATCGTGGGATTCAGAGAGCCCGTGAAATTTTACAGTAAAGGATACTAGTGTTTTAAACATGTTTGTTCACATATTTATTTCCCCGCTGTTACTATTACAGTGGGAGCAGCTTGCAAATAAACATTTTGACCTTGCAGTTAACTAAGCTGATCGCTCCAACAAACGGCGATTTGGCCTGAAGGCCGGAGGGGAGGGATCTGATGAAAAGTCATCTGGACTCGAAACGTTAGCTTGCTGTTTCTCCGTGGATGCTGTCTGACCCGCTGTGATCTCCAGCATTTGTTGTTCACAAAAATAAAGAACCGATACAAAAGGGAATTATAATTATATAGCGCGCTATTATGATCACGCGGGTAGCCGTGGAGCGACTTTCCATCGATTTGACCTTTTTGTTAACTCCGCCGAATAAAACGGCGACTGCCCCTTTAAAATTAAAGCTTTCGCCTCCCCCCAAAAAATGCACAATGCAGCCGCAGCTTATGTAATCAATCTCCAGGGAGAAGAGTCCTTGAATGGAGTCTTTTGTCACATCAATGTTATCACTCTCCATAATCTTGTAACTTTCCAAAATAGCCCCGCCATTCTGCTTCTGCAGAACAGCAAACAGGTAACTCCAGCGGGTTTTCTCAGCCAGCCTAATGTGTAATCTCAGACGCTTTTTGTTTCTTTTTTTTCCGAATGAAGCGTTTCCATTTTTGTGTCCAGATGGCCTTTTCATTAACTGTAAATTGTCCCACGTTTACCCACATTTTCCAAAAAGCGTCTACTGTCCTCCCTGATAAATAAATAAGGAGTTTGTGATCGAAACGATAACGAATCAGCCCTGAAAGTGCATCTTCAAATACAGCAATATGACTACACAAACCAAATCAAAAATTGCTGGAGAAACTCAGCAGCTCTGAAGAAGGGTCACTGGACTAGAAACGACGACGCTGCTTTCTCTCCACGGATGCTGCTAGAGCTGCTGAGTTTCTCCAGCAATTTCTGATTTGGTTTGTGTAGTCACGTTGCTGTATTTGAAGATGCACTTTCAGGGCTGGTTCGTTATTGTTTCGATCACAAACTCCTTATTTATTTACCAGGTCTGAAGGAGGGTCACAGGACTGGAAACATGAACTCTTGTTTCTCTCTGCACAGATGCTACCAGACCTGCTGAGTTTCTCCAGCAATTTCAGTTTTCTTTTGTTTATTTCCGATCTCCAGCATCTGTAGTTTCCAGTCTGTTTGGTATTCATGTGATTTTAACAGAAGTCCCTTCAACACTCATGTTGTGCAGTTTTTAGGGCTTTACTTCGAGTTGCTTGGAATCTAAGAATTGATTTCGGGGGTGCTAATTCGCCCATTGAAGGCGTGATGCGTTCAAACTTTAAATTTTGAAGTTTACATAATCGTGTACCTTGTTAAAGTTGGGAGAAGTTTATCGGCTCAGTTTGCAGATTTCCCTTGTACAGTGTGTCAGCCTCATGGTTTAAGGAGGTTATTGAATGGAGGGTATTTAAGAACTTCAGTCATGGCACTGAACTCAGGCCACTGTGG